CCGGGACTTGACCCCAGACTTACGGAAAATGCCAACCTGCTCAGAGACCCCAGAGAAGAGGGGAAAGATCATATGAAGGAAAATGCAAGTACCCTTGAACCGAAGAGCTCTGAGGGCTTCTCTTGTGTTGAGTCCAAACGTTGGCCAAGCTGACTTTGCAGAGGGTTGGGCTAGATGACCCATGGGGTCTCTTCTAGCCCTACAGTTCTGTGATTCTCAGACATTTCCACAGAGCGTCCAGACCAGGACTCTGCAGTGGAGGTTTGATTTGTGGTGCCTCCAGTTTAATAATTGTGCTTTTTAAAATGGAATGTCATGTCAGTTTTGCATTTCTTAGTACAGAAAGTATTGATCTGATGTGTAGAGATCTTTCCTATTCCAATTAATTCAAGAGGGTTCTGGAAGCTTCTCTGTGTGAAAGAAGCAAGCAGAAGGTTCATGAAGTTTGGGTTATTCCTTCAGAGAAAGCTGAGTACAGCTGGCTTAAACTGGTTCTCTATCTCTTTGTGTCAAGGTCATGCTGACTATAATAATAGGCCAGAAGGACTCTGGGTTTCAGTTTCTCTTTCTATCTCTTTTCCTTCTGGTGTGGTGTTCTGTACATAGTATGCTTAGTGTTAAGGTTTAGTCTTATAAGATATTGTAAGTTAAAGTCAAGTCTGCTGCAAGTGGATTTCTTATGGACAGTGCCAATCCTGAAAGTATTGGATTTGTGACCATTATGCTCATTTCCCTTCAGCAGCAGAAAAGCTCTGCTAGATGAAATATTAATTGCCTCTGGTCTATTTTGGGGGAATCCTGCAACATGAGTAAGTTTTTACTCTGCTAACTATACATAGGAATCTACTCTGGATCAATATTGAGTAGAATTTTATGACATGTCAGGCATCATTGCCAACACCATGAAATAAAAGGGATATCTTAGGACCTAACTTAACACATTTCCGTATCTAAATCCAGTATGTCAGTATTAGGTAAAGGTAAAGGGATCCCTGACTGTTAGGTCTAGTCATGGATGACTCTGGGGTTGCGGTGTACAGCTTCCAGGTCACGCGGCCAGCATGACTAAGCTGCTTCTGGAGAACCAGAGCAGCACACGGAAAAAGCTGTTTACCTTCCCGCTGGAGCCGGTACCTATTTATCTACTTGCACTTTGACGTGCTTACGAACTGCCAGGTTGGCAGAAGCAGGGACCGAGCAACGGGAGCTCACCTGGTCGCAGGAATTTGAATCGCCGACCTTCTAATTGGCAAGCCCTAGGCTCTGTGGTTTAGGCCACAGTGCCACCCATGTCCAAGTAATCCAAATGGGTCTACAACCCCCTGCACCTTCTTGCCCCAAGTCCAGGACATTATAAAGAGACTCTGTCTCCTCATAACTACATTATCCTGCCAGAGATGTGGCCTTAACTGTGTGTCATTGGATGGCGTTCTCACTTCTGCCCCCAATTATTATTTTTTTGAGAAATAATAATTCTGGCAGAGCTGCATTTCCCAGAGGGGTTTAACAGCCAATCCCTCTTCCCAGGGAACTCTGGGAATTGTAGCTCCGGAAGGCAGGAATGGATGATCCTTGTGGTCCCTTCCAGCCCTACAATTCTATGGTTCTAACAGCCCTGCCAGATGGAGCTGGTGGGTGTTGCCGTCTGAGGCAGCCAGAGGAGAATACGTTGGAAAGGCTGCTGCAGGAGACCAGACCCCCACAGGGGCAGGTTGCTGGCACCCCAAGACTTCAGAAGGGCTGTGGCCGAGGCAAAACCTGGCTGAGCCTGCCGAGGTCGCCTCACCTGGTCCAGACACTGGCTGCGTATGTAGCGCATTGCCTGCTGAATGCTCTGGGGCAGCGGTTGTCCAGTCCTCTGGACGTGGACGGAGTAGTGGGACCCCAAAGACTCTCTTGTCCCTGTAGTTGGGGGTCTTGCTCCTCTTCATGAACTTCGGGACCGCCCTGCCAAAGGAAAGAAGGGGTGGGGCGGTCAATAGGGAATTGCAAATATCCAGATTACCAGCTTTTATCATTTTCTCTTGCATCCCATTGCTGACCTTGGTCCAGTTCGGTTTCATTTTTACGTGTTTTGTTTTGTGAAGCCTTAAGTTTTGTTATTTGGGCTGTACAGAGCAATTCAATGAAAATACTATAGAAAAATAAATAAAGGGATTGTGGGCCCTTGCTGGGAATGCCTGTCCCATTCTGTCAAAGGAAAGCAGAGGAGGGGGGGGATGTGTGTCTCCAGGGGCTGCCTGCCCAGCCTGAACAGGATTCGGCCCAGCTCTTCTTCTCCCCCAGCACCCCCCCAAAAAAACCCCACCCTATTGCTAAAACAGTTAAACTGAACAAATGCAGGGAAGAATACAGCAATTTGGCATCAGAAGGATGGAGGAGGAGGGGGGGGAGTCCCCAGGTCTCTGCTTTGTTATTCATAGAGTTGGAAGGCACCAACTCAAGGCTCATCTGGTCCAACTTCCTGCAATGCAGGAATCAGAGCTAAAGTATCCCTGGCAGGTGGCAGTTTTTGTTAGCACATTCCTGCCTTATTTCCCAGAGTACCTTGTGCTCCAGGTAATAAAGGCCTGTCCTCTTCTCTCCCTAGTAAGGGCATAAATTTACTGGGAATTTCAACACTGCCTCCCCCTGCCCCCCAAAACTGTCTATTTTCCTTCTTTTTCTGCCACTGCAATCTGCCCCCCAGCAGAATGCACATCCCATCAGCATTTACAAACACTTACCCTCTCCCACAATAGGTAAAGGAAGTTGCGGGGCAATTTTTGAACAGAGGTTCGATGGCTATCTGTTGGGGATTCTTTCGCTGCCATTCTTGCAGTGCAAGAGGTTGGACTGAATGGCCTGTAGGGGGCGTCCCTTGCAACACAACAATTCCCTGATTCTGTGTTTCTGCATTAATAATCTGCTCTGCCACACACATGGCAGATAGAGAATGGATAACAGGCTTCAGAGGTGTGTCAATTTATTTAGCCCAATGAGGGCAATGCCCTTGAAGAAGCATCCTTGGAGGTAAAGGTAAAGGTAAAAGGACCCCTGACCATTAGGTCCAGTCGTGACTGACTCTGGGGTTGCAGCGCTCATCTCGCTTTATTGGCCGAGGGAGCCGGCATACAGCTTCCGGGTCATGTGGCCAGCATGACTAAGCCGCTTCTGGTGAACCAGAGCAGCACACGGAAACACCGTTTACCTTCCTGCTGGAGCGGTACCTATTTATCTACTTGCACTTTGACGTGCTTTCGAACTGCTAGGTTGGCAGGAGCAGGGACTGAGCAACGGGAGCTCACCCCGTTGCAGGGATTCAAACCGCCAACCTTCTGATTGGCAAGTCCTAGGCTCAGTGGTTTACCCCACAGCGCCACCCACGTCCCAACCTTGGACCCTTGGGGTACCTTCCAGCACTACAATTCTAGGATCCTGTATAGTATGTACCGTATTTTTCGCTCTATAAGACGTACCAGACCACAAGACGCACCTAGTTTTAGGAGGAGGAAAACAAGAAAAAAAAAATTCTGAATCTCAGAAGCCAGAACAGCAAGAGGGATCGCTGTGCAGTGAAAGCAGCAATCCCTCTTGCTGTTCTGGCTACTGGGATAGCTGCGCAGCCTGCATTCACTCCATAAGACGCACACACATTTCCCCTTACTTTTTAGGAGGGAAAAAGTGAGTCTTATAGAGCAAATAATACGGTATATATCTTTAGTTGAAAGGTATCCTTGGACATCTATTCTAACTCCCATGCCCGGGGCCAAATACTCCTGCCTTTCCCTTTCCTTTCCCCACCTTCTAATGGATATTTCAGACCACAACATTCCTTGCAGAATCTCTCTGCTGACTCACCATGACCAGCTCTGCTTGTGGGGGACAGAGTATTTCTCCATGATGGCTGTGAGGCGAAGGAGGGAGCATTTTTGGAGGAGGTTGAGCTGGGCGGCGGATTGGCGGTTGATCTCCAAGGAAGCCGAGTTCAGGCTAGGTCGGTGGGAGTTCTGGAAGCTGTGCCAGCGAAGCTTCCTGGGTGGGGAGGAAGAACAGACGTCACTGATTTATCTCAACCTCAAGCAGCTTTGCCACCAGCCACTCAAAGTGGACCCTCAGCTCCAACCGTGGTGCCCAGAACAGGGCACAGGACTAGAGGTGGGGTCTGACCAAGGCAGAATAGAGCATCACGATTAGAATCATAGAATTGGAAGGGACCCCACAGGTCATCCTCAGTCCAACTTAGGAGTGTGCAGGAGGCAAAAAGTCAAATCCTCCATCCACAAAGAGCAGAAACCTAATTTAGAAATGAATTCATGAAAAGAAAAGGGTAAGATTTTGAAGGCAACATGCAGCAAAGGAGAAATAGCAAACTGTAGCTGTTACATTTTTGGGGGTGCCATCACAAAGATGCAGACATCTTGTGGCATCTGAATATAGACTGCATTTTTAATCAAGGCATATATTGGCTTATATTTGATCAGGTTCCTAAATTAAATGGGCTTAGATTTTCAAATGTTTCATGCCAGGCAAGAAGGCCAGCTGTTTATAGAGAAAACCTTGGCCATTCTCCTAAGACAAGGGCCCCCCCTTGATTGATAGCAGAAAACAATTCTCAAAGTCATAAGAGCTGGAATTACAGACTAAGAGCAGGACATTGACCCTACATGTTACAGAAGATAACAAATGCTGGATTCTTATTTCATATAGTTGTAAGAGTTGTATTTAAGTCAGCCCCCCTGCCAGAAATGAGACGCCAATCGAGCACTCATGACAAATGGTTGTCAGGCCTTTGTTTAAAGACCTCCAAAAGGAGATATTTCATTGATGATGCATGAGAATATGAACCCAAGGTCTCTGACATCTGTTCAAGATAAAAATTTAAGATTAACCATTTGTTTTAGAAGGCAGTAGGGCAAGGAGGGCAAGAGGTGAGCTGGTAATTAAGATTCCATGTAAGATATATTATTACTTATTTGTCATTTATATATAGCTCTTTGTCTCCCTTATAAGGATAGGAGGATATGAGTGTATTTTTGTGATTGGTTATACTAATCAGCCAATAGGAATTTCAACCAGGCTGATGGGACAGAGGCAGCCACAGGAGGAGCAAAGGGGGCTGGATTAAGGGAATATAAGTGCTGGCCATAATGGCAGGAGGCCAGGCCAGAGCTTGGTAATCATATACCACTGTGCCTCTCATTTATTTGTCTGACAAATAAATTATTATTTAATTTCTCTGTTGCTGCGTTGAATATTTCATTCCAGCTAAGCGTTAACCACAAGCAGGGTGCTACATTTTATGGTGCCTGCGACTCGGATCAGTGGTCTGCTGGAACGCAGCCCCTTCGCCTACTGAGCAGGGTACAAGACAGAGGACCACTCACTGCCTACTCAGCGCGCAATGGAAAAATTTTTTCCAGGGGAACGCAGCAGTCTCGTCTGTCTGATACCCTGCCCACCGACGGCGACGGACCGGGGGGAAACGGAACCAGCTAAGGGTAAGTGCACTAAGGGGTTTTGGCCCTCCAATTAATTGGGAGGAAGAGAAGTCCTGATCAAACTTCTGCGTCTCAGTAAAGGGGAACTGAGTACGCTAGGTGGCTGGGTACATCAGATGGTGATCTGGTGTAGGGAAAAGGGAAGTTGGGAGGTAGTGTGTGGTTAAAGTATCTAGCGCATTGCATGTGTGAGAAAGTACAATGTGTAGCTGACCTAAGTGTGGAGTGAGTGCTACTTCGTTTCCCAGTAAGGTGTGTGTGTGAGTGACTGAGTGGATACTTCACAGGGCCATACAATGGGAGTTGGGGGTTCAAAGGGGGGAAATACACCTCTTGAATGTATGTTAAATAATTTTAAGAAAGCCTTCTCAGGGGCATATGGAGTCAAAATGACGCCAGAGCGCTTGAGAACGTTATGTGAACTAGAATGGCCAAAACAAAATACTGAATGGCCATCTCAAGGAACCTTTGATATAAATTTAGTAAGCAAACTTTGGTCTAACATCACCAAAGAAACTGGAGGGTGCCCAGAACAATTTTCATATATAGATTCCTGGCTGAGCACATTAAATAAAAATCCTCCATGGATAAGGGAATGCAAAGTCCAACGATGCAAATTATTGGCTGTAAAAGCCAAAGCTAGGAAAGGAATCTTGCCAAATAAACTCAAACCCATTTTTGAGGGACCAGAGGAAGAGGTGCTTCCACCTCCACCCTATGCTCCACATCGAAGGGAGCCTAATTCAAACCCTCCACCAGTTGCAACCCCAAGGCAAGAAAGTGGAATGAATAATGGGGCTGGAGTCACAGAACTTGATTCCTTGATAGATTATGATAAATATCTTCAGGAGGCATTGGAGTCCTATAATGAAGCCCAAGCAGAAGTGGTTATTCCACCTGTGAGTCCCAGTAGAACTCCATCTACAGTCTCTTTTAGTGGAACAACTGATTGCCTACCCCAAACCCCTGTACATCTATTATTACAGAAGTTACAGGGAGACCCTAATCGGTCAGCAAACAATACAGCCAGGCGTATAGAGCTGCTAAAAGAACGCCTTGGGATAGATACCATCCCCTATGATTTGAGGCCCCTAGAGCAAAGCGAAGAGAAAGGTCACGTAGTAGCCCCTCTTAGAAGAGTATTTGATGCACTTGAGGAGCCTGTGCTGGTTAATGGGCAACCTGGACCAAGGCCACCTCGAACTTCGATCCTCCAGTACATTCCATTCACAACTACGGATCTGATGAATTGGAAAACACCCCATCTTTCGCAGAAAAACCTCAGGCTATGATGGACTTGGTGACTTCAATAGTAATAGTCCTACTTGGACAGGTTGTCGCCAGCTCCTGAATACTCTCTTCACCACTGAGGAAAGGAGAGACATAATTGAAAAGGCACAGATATATTTGCGTGAGCAGGCCAGAGTGGGAAATATTTTTAATATTGACCGTCATCTCCAGGAAAACTTTCCCTTGGAAGATCCTAATTGGGATCCAAACAATGCAATTCACCTGGCCAGGCTTACCACCTACCGCCAGATGCTTGTGCAAGGTATCTGCAGGGCATGCCAGAAGCCCACTAATATGTCTAAAGTTTCAGGAGGGTAGATGTGTTACCCATAGCACTGTTTCGTGTTCGGTGCGCACCCACAAAAAGACTTAAGTTGTCACCTTTTGAGCTCCTGTATGGGAGGCCGCCCTCCTTTGTTTAGGATATTCCAACTGACCTCAAACAAATAGGAGACCATGAGACACAGGGACAAGTGCAATCTCTCTCCCGTGTTTTTGTCTCTCTCCCGTGTTTGTTTGTTGTTGTTGTTTTTATCTTAACAGGTGGGCCCTCGAGCACGCCGTGCAGCATTGCCTGCCGATTCATCAGCTCCAGGCTGGCATAGCATATGGGTGAAAGAGTGGAAACGTGATCCACTTGCACCTAAGTGGCGTGGACCTTACACCGTCTTGCTCTCTACTCTAACAGCGGTGAAGGTAGCTGAGGTGACCCCCTGGATTCATCACTCCCGTTTGAAGAAGTCCGAAGGCAGTTGGACGTGCAAAGGTGACCCCTCTAATCCTTTAAAACTGACTCTCTCCAAAAACCCCTGTATCTAGCCCTACCGGGAACGGGCTAGGTCACGGGCAACATTAGACGACCGGCCTGCTGCAGCCACAACTTGGAAGCTGGCTGACCTGCGCACGCCTGAAGCTTGAGGAGCGTCTGAACCAGCGACTGTGAGCGGGAAGATTCTCTTATACAATTGATTGACTGCCCCCTTGTGGAACAATTATCAGAGATATTACACATTGGGGATCCTTGGGATATATGTTTTGGTCTTGGTGGTTCCCCATTTCTGTCACTGGGGGAATTATATTGGGACTAATAGTTTTATGCTATCACAATAAGGTAATCTTTTGTGGAAGGAATGCATATGCTAGACATCAACATGATTTTATTATTAATCCTGATCCCTTGGGAAGGGGAGGGTCCTTGAATCTGACCAAATTTGCTAAATATGGATTCAGCCATGACCACAATATGTGGGTAGGCTTAGCTGAGATGGTAGGCAATGTGGCAAATAGGACCAATTGCCTTGTTTGCTCTCTTGGGCCAGATGATTCAGAGGGAGGTATGCCCTTATTACCGATACCATTAGATGCCATTGGTATGGTAAGCGAAATGCCACACCAAACAGAAATACAGAATTTCCCCGGATGGAACTCAACTAAACCATTACGAGTTATACCTGTACAAGGGGAATTCTGTGTACATAAATCATCAGATGCAGCTGATTCTACCATGATAGGCTATTCTCATTGTCACTATATTTGGGATCATATTAAGAATACCTGGGCACACGGTACTACCTATCGAACTCGGAATGCCTTGCCCTGTGCACCTCCTTTTATTCATGCATGGAAAGTGGTATGGAACATAACTGTGACAGAAAAAGGCAATCTAACATACTGCACTGTGAACTCTATACCCCTTTTGATATTTCGCCTTATGCACTCCACATACCAAAAACCTCAGACCCGATGGTTGTGGTGGATATGTGGAGAATGGGCATACAAGAAACTCCCTTCCAAATGGAGTGGGACTTGTTTCCTGGGATGGGTATTACCACCAATGTGGATTTGCCCACTAGTTCAGCCAAGCGAACACGAAGAAATGCTGATATTTCTCATATAGCAGGAGGAAGTACCCAAAGTTGGAGCGGTACTGATGATTGGCCGCCAGAGCGCATAATAGCCTATTATGATCCTGCCTCCTGGAATCCTGGTGAGCTCATACAAGGGGCACGGGATCCTATTTATAATCTAAACAGAATAATTCGATTACAAGCAGTAGTGGAACTTGTAACCAATGCAACGGCCCAGAGTTTGAGACTTATTGCACGACAGTTGGATGACTTGCCAGGCAGGGAGGCCTGTGTGGAGTCTTGAACTTGACAGGGAATGCCTGTTGCTTTAACATTTCAGATAATGGTTTTATGTATGGTGCCATGTATCATCTCATGTTTTAGGAGTACAATTAGCCAGATGATTTCAAATGAAACTTTACCTCATATCATGGCACTATATAGAGCCTTACCTCAGGAATGTGGCATTGTAAGATCAAGCTATCAAGGACGCTTGGTAGCCAGGTCCTTGAGCTTGAAAGGGGGGAATGTGGCATCTGAATATAGACTGCATTTTTAATCAAGGCATATATTGGCTTATATTTGATCAGGTTCCTAAATTAAATGGGCTTAGATTTTCAAATGTTTCATGCCAGGCAAGAAGGCCAGCTGTTTATAGAGAAAACCTTGGCCATTCTCCTAAGACAAGGGGCCCCCCCTTGATTGATAGCAGAAAACAATTCTCAAAGTCATAAGAGCTGGAATTACAGACTAAGAGCAGGACATTGACCCTACATGTTACAGAAGATAACAAATGCTGGATTCTTATTTCATATAGTTGTAAGAGTTGTATTTAAGTCAGCCCCCCTGCCAGAAATGAGACGCCAATCGAGCACTCATGACAAATGGTTGGCTTTTAAAGACCTCCAAAAGGAGATATTTCATTGATGATGCATGAGAATATGAACCCAAGGTCTCTGACATCTGTTCAAGATAAAAATTTAAGATTAACCATTTGTTTTAGAAGGCAGTAGGGCAAGGAGGGCAAGAGGTGAGCTGGTAATTAAGATTCCATGTAAGATATATTATTACTTATTTGTCATTTATATATAGCTCTTTGTCTCCCTTATAAGGATAGGAGGATATGAGTGTATTTTTGTGATTGGTTATACCAATCAGCCAATAGGAATTTCAACCAGGCTGATGGGACAGAGGCAGCCACAGGAGGAGCAAAGGGGGCTGGATTAAGGGAATATAAGTGCTGGCCATAATGGCAGGAGGCCAGGCCAGAGCTTGGTAATCATATACCACTGTGCCTCTCATTTATTTGTCTGACAAATAAATTATTATTTAATTTCTCTGTTGCTGCGTTGAATATTTCATTCCAGCTAAGCGTTAACCACAAGCAGGGTGCTACAATCTAAGCGGTACCAAAATTCACAGGGGTGCTATTTTCATTTTGGCTCGCTAGAGGGCACCAAACTGCCAACCTGAGTTGGGACATTTTCCCGCCATGGGTTTAGTTGACTAAAGAGAACTCACTGGCTTCTGTAATTGCTTTCCCACAGGGTGCCTGGAACCGTCTTCAAAACTGATGCACAACCCACCCATGGTACTGGTTCGTAAGGGCCCTGCCATGTTAAGGCAAAGGCTGGTGCAACGTAGAATCCTAGGATTGTGGAGCTGTAAGGGACCTGAGGGGTCATCTAGCCCAACCCGCTGCAACCCATATTATATAAACATTGTTATTACTATGGTTATCATCCACTGCATTTCCAACAGCTGCTTCTTTCCTTACGGGCAGCACTGACCACATTTGCCAAATGCCAATTTAAAAATAAAAACGGAAGATCCTAGGAGTCCGAGCGCAGTCCTGTGGCAAATCGAAAGAAAAAAAGGGTTGACAGTTTCACATGTGCATCCTGCACTTGTTATGTGTGATAGGCATCCTGACTCCAGAAAACTCAAAAATTGTGTAAAGCAAAACTCCAGGCGCACAGAGCAGGATTGCAACCTGCCAGGAGACCCTGCAGAACAGTTGCTGGGTGGAAAGATGGAGGAATAGAGGGACAAATTCCAGGAAATACAAGGAAGTGCCTCCCAACATCCTGACTGCAAGGTTGGATGGCCACCTGTCAGGGATTCTTGAGCTGCGATTCCCAGCTTGCAGGGGGTTGGACTAGATGACCCTTGGGATCCCTTCCAACCCAACAATTCCAGGATTCTACTACCCTGGCTCTCCTCAAAACATCCAGTTTGCCGCACTGTTTTCCTATAGAAGCATGGTGTGATCTTCTGGTTCCTGTCTAACCAAGTTGCAGGGGGTTGGTCTAGATGACCCTGGGGACCCCACCCACCTCGACAATTCCTTGACCCCTACCTGCAAGGCCTGGTGAGGGAGGCGCCCACCCCGGAGTCTCTCCGCTCCCTCATTCCCAGGTCCTCCGCCTCATTCAGGGAGTTGGCGGTGCTGTCAAAGTCGCTGGCCGACGTGCCAATGTCCGACACGGAGCGCTCCTCAAAGTTTGGGGTGGCGGGCTCCCCTCCGGAGTCCGTCTCCTCCCCGCCACCGATGCTTCCGCCCTCCGGGTCCAGCTGGATGGCCTCAGACCACAGCTCCACCTTCCTCTGCAGCCCCCAAACGTGCTCCAGGATCTCGTCCAGGTTCTCGTAGATGACGTCCCTGTCCAGGCCAAACAGGTCGTCCGTGACACTGCTGGACTCGGGCACATTGTCATAGAGGCTGGTGCAGCTGCCTGTGGAGCCACATGAGGGCCGCCTCAGCCTGCACTCCAAGGCCTCGCCTGTCCTGCTGCCCATCCCAACCCCACCTGGCAAGAGACCTGAAGCCGGGCCGCTCGATTTCCAGTCAGGCAAACACCCGCTCTCGAGCGGGCACAGGCTTTCAATGGAGAGAGACTTGGGGAAAGTGCCCGGCTTGTAGTCTCTGGGGATGTGGACCAAATAGTCCCTTTCGAACAGGTCGTGGTGGCCCAATCCGCCAGCATCCCAGGGGGTGCCCTTGCCCCGGCCTGCCTCGTAGTCCTCCAGGTAAACGCTACCATGTTTGGGCTGCTCCCCAGCTGGGCCCAAGGCCCCGTTGGCCCGGCGCCCTCTTGAGGGAAGCGTTTTGCTGCCGCAGGAAGAAGGCGACACCCCGCTTCTTGGTTCTTTTGAGGAGCTCCACCAGGACTCGGCATCTGCCCCATCCTCTTTTTGGGCTTTGGCAGAGTCCAGCTTCTCCTTGTCCTTCCTCCTGAGGGACTCAATCCTCCTGAGGAAGCTCCGAGTCCGGCGTTTCCTGGTGTCCCCCTTGCTGGTCCCACTCATGTCCTGGGACTGGTCAGTGGGCGAGGGTTCCTCCAAGCTGGGGATGGAGAGGGTCAAGGTCAGAGAATCCTGGGTGGAGGACGGGTCAGGGAGAGCAGGACACTCGCCTGTGCTGGGGGGGTCGCTGTGGAGAGAGGAGGCCTCCAGCTCAGCGCTCAGGTCAGTGAGGATGCTCTCCTGGCTGGGCAGCTTCCTCATGGTGGAGGCTGCCTCCGGGCTGCGGGAGAGGAAATCGTCGGAGCCGATTCGGGACCACCTACGGCTGTCTCTCTGGAAAGCCCACCGATCGCTGATGGCACAGAAGTCCTCGTCTCCCGAGTCGTCATTCTAAAGCAAGCACAGGAAATTATACCTCAGTTAAAGGTAAAGGGACCCCTGAGCGTTAGGTCCAGTTGCGGACAACTCTGGGGTTGCGGTGCTCATCTCGCTTTACTGGTAAAGGGAGCCGGCGTTTGTCCGCAGACAGCTTCCGGGTCATGTGGTCAGCATGACTAAGCCGCTTCTGGCAAACCAGAGCAGTGCATGTAACTGCTGTTTACTTTCCCGCCAGAGCGGTACCTATTTATCTACTTGCACTTTGACGTGCCTTCGAACTGCTAGGTTGGCAGGAGCAGGGACCGAGCAATGGGAGCTCACCCCGTCGCGGGGATTTGAACTCCCGACCTTCTAATCGGCAAGCCCTAGGCTCAGTGGTTTAGACCACAGCGCCACCAGCATCCCTAATTTCTCAGTTACTGGGATTTATTTTATTTTATTTTAATTTTCTAACCCATTGCTTTCTCCAAGGAGCTGAAGGTGGAGCATGTGGTTCTCCTCTTCATTTAACCCCAACAAAAACCATGCGTGGTCTCCCAGGTTGCTAGTCTGCATAGTTGTCAACTTTTCCCTTTTCTTGCGAGGAATCCTATTCGGAATAAGGGAATTTCCCTTTAAAAAAGGGAAACGTTGACAGCTATGCTAGTCTGACACTCTGACCGCTACAAACTGATTGTTCTTCTCCCTCCCCATCTGAGCCCCACAACACCCCTTTGAGAAAGGCCAGGCCCAGAGGCAGTGACTGCCCCCCAAAGTCAACCTGTGAGCTTTGTGGCCAAGTGAGGAATTTGAGTCCTAGCCTCTCCCAGGTCCCAACTCTAATACCCACACCACGCTGACTGTACTAATTAGACTGTAGCATGTTCAGAAAAGCTGGAAGGGGCCAGGGGGTCATCTAGTCCAACCCCTTGCAATGCAGGAACCACAGGGTCTGTTCTGTGTTGTTTAAAAACCTTTAATAAATCCATTTGGGAAGCAGGGAGGGAGAAAAACCTGACTGAGACCTGCTTTCTGCTGTGCTAGGTCTGCCTGAGCTTCCGTTCCCCAGGATCCAGGTTCGATTCCCATCCGAGGGCCCAGGCTTACCTGTTTCCGCTGAAAGTGGACCTCCAGCTTCATCGAGGCGCACGAGTTCAGTGTCACGAGTCTCCTGCAAGGAGTAAAGGAGAGGGGCTTTTGTCTGGCTCGGCCGTCCCGTCCCAGCTGCCGCCGGCCAGGCTATTTAAAAACAAGCGGCTCTTGTTTCGGGGCACCGTCACTTGTCCCGCAAACAGCTGGGGATCAAGTGACCACACGCGGCTCTCTCCAGGGATGCTGTGGGTGGGGGTGCCAGCTCAGGCCAATAGAGGGGGAGCTATGGGCACTAAGCAACCAACATGTGTGGCTCAGCAGCCCCAGCGAGGCGCTTCCAGCTGCTCAAACATGCCGACGACCAGCCGAGCGTCACTTTCATCTCATGCCAGCAACTGCGACCCGACTCCAGAGAAGTGTCCCCCCGGCCTCCTGCCCCCTAACAGAAAGTTCCTGGAGTGTGGAGCCAGCTGGCAAGGGGATTAAAGCCTGGCCCCCCAAACAGACACACGGTGATCACAGAATCATACGAGTTGGAATGGGAACCCCAAGGGTCATTCAGTCCAACCCCCTGCAATGCAGAAAGCATGTATTCCTTCTAAGGGTTTACCAGGCTAAAAGATATCAGTCAAGGGCATTGGGACAGGCCTTAGGCCTCTGAAAAGCCCCACCCCAATTTCCCAAGCTGGTTAGCACACGTGTGATTTATTTGTATTTTGAGATGGTGGGCTGTTTATTTTGGCAAAGCCCAAGAGCTGCCTGGTCAAAATTAAAACAGGCCCAGAGCATCGGAACAGCGTTGACAATAGAATAACCACACAAGACAGCAGCAAACCGGGGGAGGGGGCAGATTAAAATAGTAGCAATAGCAGCAGTAGCCATTACGATTTTAAAAAGCTAGAGAAGTTGATAATAAATTTACTGAAAGGGGGAGCATTGTGGTAGGTTTTGGAATGTGAAAGTGCACAGCCATTTGTGGCATTACGTGCAGGGCAATAATCTCGTCAAGGAACCTGGTTTACGTGGATTAAAGTTAACACAGGAATCCTAATGTTGCCCAAATGGTCCCAGCGAAGCACAAGAGGGAAGGAGCAGCAGGCTTGGGGAGGACCCAAAACAAGGGGGCTTTAGGAGGAAAAAAAGCATCTGAGGGAGCAAACTCCCCCTGCGACCCGTCCCCTAATTTTTCTACAGAGCTATAACTTCACAGAATTGTAGAGTTGGATTAGACCCCAAGGGTGATCCCTGCAATGCGAGAATCACTGCTACAGAATCCCTGAGAGATGGCCATCCAAACTCTGCTTAAAAACTGCAGCGAAGGAGGGTCCAGCACCTTCCAAGGGAGTCTGCTCTACTGCCAAACCGCTCTTACCACCGGCAACTCAGAGGAAGACTTGGGAGCCACATTTAAGAACGGCTCTTCCATTTAGCCACGGCTCCAGGTTTCCTGTACGTGACCTCATCTGTGACGTCAACTTCCAGAGCTCAGTCAAGCTCACATCCTGTAGCATCTCCACCCTCTGGGCTTATCCCAGTCATGGCAGCATGTCAGAGCTGGCACCCCCAAAAAACCCAACCAGCCGTATACTGAGCAGCAAGATGCTCTGGATTCATCAGCCCCAGAAGCAGCGGTCTGCCCATCAAGCAAATGGACACAATATTTCCCCAGACCCAAATGGGCTTGGCAGAGAGGACAGGCCAGATCCCAGGATCCCCCTCCCCACCTCACTGAGCCAGTGGACAGTCTGCTGCTTGACAGGACCAGGAAAGGTCAGACCTTCACATCCCCTGGGCCTGGCTGAGCTGCCCTCTTCAACGCCACCCTCTGACCACAACAACGTGCTTCCCCATATCCTTCCATTGGCAACAATGACCATTTTAATTTTTCATTTTAACCTGCAGAGGGATTTGAGGGAATCCTGGTCCAAGAAGTTGTGGTCCTTCTTCACAGAGGCAATGTCGAGAGGGAAGAGGGATTCTGAGGATGAGAAGGAGGAGAGAAGAGTTTGATCGAGAAGATGGATGGCTGCTTGAAGGTGCTGGAGGAGAAGCCGGTTGTCCACAGAGGCAGAAGAAGGGACACCCGTATTTCTGCTGCCCTGCCAAATGCCCTCTCTGTGCTCACTTCTAGGCTCCATCCTAACTTGAATTCACCAGCCTGCTCTCACTTTCGGTAAGCAGCATTTTGCAATTTAGCAATCATACCACACCGGCTGAGGGACACGGGTGGTGCTGTGGGTTAAACCACAGAGCCTAGGACTTGCCGATCAGAAGGTCAGCGGTTCGAATCCCCGCGAGGGGGTGAGCTCCCGTTGCTTGGTCCCTGCTCCTGCCCACCTAGCAGTTCGAAAGCACTTCAAAGTGCAAGTAGATAAATAGGTAGCGCTCCAGTGGGAATGTAAACGGCGTTTCTGTGTGAAGCTCTGGTTCGCCACAAAGCGGCTTAGTCATGCTGGTCACATGACCCGGAAGCTGAACGCCGGCTCCCTCAGCCAATAAAGCGAGATGTGCGCCGCAACCCCAGAGTCGCTCACGACTGGACCTAACGGTCAGGGGTCCTTTTACCCTTTACCTTACCACACCGGCTTAGAAACTGGCGTTCAGCACCCTGCAAATCTCAGCTTTCATGTAATGCAAAACAAGTTTCTAGTCCTTAAGGCTGCCAAAGGACATGTGTCAGAATAAGAGAGCAACTTGTGCTGAAGACTAGGGGCTTCATGAACTGGTATTGTGTGTGTGTGTGTGTGTGTGTGATTTAAACGAATCCTTTGTTTGCAAACCACTTATTTGCCATTAAGAGGTAAAATAAACTTTTATTTAATCGAGAAATAAATGCATGCAGAGCAAGAGCGAAGAAAATAGCAGCCGCTGGGGAGGGCTGGGGAGTGACATGGGGCATCTCGGACCCCATGAAGCCCTACTTGGTCCTGTTTTTCTTCAGCCAAGAGGTCTTCCCTCAGATTTCCCCCCATGGCTTTCAAGTTCCCCCATTGCAGGGGCTTGGACTAGATGACACTGGGGGTCCCTTCCAAGTCTAAAGTTCTATTTTTCTGTTATTCCTACATGAAGGGCTAGTATTGTGGGTTGTTTGTTATTTTCAAAGCAAAGCTTGATCTCATCAGGAGAATGCACAAATCCCAAAAGAAGCCTTCAAGCACCTCCCCAATTCTAAAAACCAAACAAAAACAAACCCATATGACCCCCTCCCCCTCCCCAATTCTAAAAACCAAACAAAAACAGACCCATATGCACCCCCTCCCCCTCCCCAATTCTAAAAACCAAACAAAAACACACCCATATGCACCCCCTCCCCCTCCCCAATTCTAAAAACCAAACAAAAACACACCCATATGCACCCCACCCTCACAAAGAGGCAGCCTGAAAAACTATCAGCCAGTCTTGTCTCGCGCGGACGTGATGGGAGGGGAGGTATTCGACCGGCACAATGGCTGGCTGCGCTTTGCTGCTGGGGGCTTCCTCCGATTGTCCTGGCCCCGTAACTCTCCTGTCCTCCAGCTAAGGCAGAGCTCAGGCTTTTGTTTGGCTCTCCCATGCCATGTGTGGACAGGAAACAAAAGTCAACCTGGAGACCCTGTGCTGTGTATGGTTTGCGTTGTAAAGTATATGGCATGCAGGAAGAATCCAAGTGGCTGTGGAAGAGCTCTTCCTGTCAGAAAGTTATTCCTGAGGTTTAGTTGTCACTGTAAACCATTGGTTCTGTTCCTGCTCCCTGGAGCAGCAGGAAACAAGCTCGCTCCATCTCCCGTGGGACAGCCCTTCAGATATTTCAAGATGGCTCTCATGTTACCTCTCTGTCTTCCCTTCTATGATTCTTGCTGTCAGTCAGAAGGCTCATGCATATTTACTTTTCATCCACGCTGTCTAGACACAGGTATGGAGGTTCCAGGTCTGTGTCTGAGCATTTTTATTTTATTTTTTGTCCCAGCACTTTCCCCGAGAAAACATGTGTTTTACTGCTGAATTGGAGTAATCGGTAACCGGGTTTTCCATAGACTGCCGTTTGCTTCATTTCAGCTGTAAAATGTGGGTTTTCCCAGGGAAAGTGCCAGGACAACAACAAAAACCGCTTGGACACTAGAAACACAGCACAAAAGGAAGTGTACATGAGCCCAGAATCCCCAAGTGCTTGAAAACTCCCCTTATACCTGAGGAGGCAGTGAAAAGATGGCCAAGATCCCCTATCTTTGACAGAAGCACCTTCCTCAACACCAGCCAGGAAGTGAGCAAAAGGGTATCTTGTCAGGGAGAGGGCAACTCATGTGGCCACCAGAAACCTCTCAGAAGAGGACTGCTAGGTTCTGTCTCTGTGGGCCAGTGGGAGCCAAACATCCACTGAAGGAGAAAAACAGAAGCCCAGCTGGCCCTTTGGGTGGATGTGGAAGACATGGACAAACTCCTAAAAACTCCCATCTGGGTTTAAAGGGTGGTTCCCAGAGAAGAAGAGGGAAAGAACCCCTCTGAAATGAAGTAGCTGCATGCTCCACAGGCTGGTGGGCAGCAAAATAAACACAGCCTGAATGGGAGGTTTCCTACATTTCTTCCCCCAAACTTCATGTAAAAGCATTTCTCATGCAGACATCGCCTGACGCTTCCTTTGGCTCAGTCAGTCTCAGATGGAGACCAAAGTGGTGGCTGCAGCAGCTTTGGAAGAGGTTTCTGAGGGGAAGAGCTGTCCCAACAGTGGAACAGACTCCCACTGGATAGTGGAGGACTGTCCTTCACTTGAAGTTTTCATACAGTGGATGGATGGCCATCCGTCCGGGATTCTTTAGCTGTGATTCCTCCACTGAAGCAGGTTAGGCTGGTCCTCCCCACCTCTACCATTCTGTGATTCCATAATATAGTATCTTACTGGGGGGAGGTAGAGACTGGCAGCCATCTGAGGAGAGACCTCACCTGGACATCTAGGGAGGGTGGATCTTAAGTAAACACAGCAAGAGAGGTGGACCAGCCAACCACACAGTCACAGTGGTGGTGGCAGCTGAATATTCATGGGAGGACCGGTCTGGGTGTCAGGCTGGGCCTCCCCCTCCCCACTTCATCCCAAAAGGAATTGCATGCAGTCCTGATTCTCTTACCTTCGTAGAGCTGGGCATACTGAGGAAAGCCAGCCGCTCGCAGCCAGTCACAGGCCTTGGCAGCCTCAGCCTCTGTAAGAGAGCAAACGGACAGAGCTGAGGAGGAGCTGCAGACAGATGTCTCCAGCAAAAACAAGGAACCAAACATTTGAAATGCTATGATACCACTTTAAACCATCGTGGCTTCCCCCTAAAACACCCTGGGAACTGTAGTTTTTTCAAGGTGCTGAGAGTTATCAGGAGACCCCTACTCCCTTCACAGAACTGTGATTCCCAGACAGTGGCGTAGCGTGGGTTGTCAGCACCCGGGGCAAGGCAAGTAATTTGCGCCCCCTAACCCATGGATTTGCGCCCCCTAACCCCCAGATGTTGCGCCTGGTGCGGCCGGCCCCCCCTGCACCCCCCACGCTATGCCACTGTTCCCAGAGTTCCCTCAGAAGAGAAATCAATCGTTAAACCTCTGTGGGAAACACAGCTCTGTGAGGGCAATTCTAGGCTGCATCAACAGAAGTCTAGTGTCTCGATTGAGGGAAGTCATAGCAGTCTTGGTCAGACTCCACCTGGAGTCCTGTGTCCAGTTCTGGGCACCACAATTTAAGAAGGATACTGACAAGCTGGAAGGTGTGCAAAGAAGGGCAACCAAGATGATCAAAGGTTTGGATACCAAGGATTTGGATAAGGAACAGTTGAGGGAGTTGGGGGCGTTTGGCCTGGATAAAAGGATAAAGAGAGGGCATATGATAGCCATCTTCAACTATCTGAAGGGCTGTCACCTGGAAGATGGAACCAATGGCTCCAAGTTACAAGGAAGGAGATTCCATCAGGAAGAACTTTCTGACAGTAAGAGTTGTTTGACAGTGAAAAGGACTCCCTTGGACGGTGATGGACTTCCCTTCCTTGGAGGTGTTTAAGCAGAAGATGGATGACCCTCTGTCATGGATGCTTCAGCTGAGATTCCTGTATAGCAGGGAGTTGGCTTAGATGATCCCTGGGATCCATTCCAACTCTACCATTCTATGAGTCTAGGAGTCTGTTCCTCCCACCCCAAGAAGATATCTGTACAAACTGAGTACTAGCTGGAGAACAGAGTTGGCCATCCTCATTTCCCCCCACTGTTTGGACATCAGCTCCTCTTTTTACTTGCAAAACAAGGACTTGACCCAGTGAATTCCACCACACAGATATCATCCCTTTGCAAAGGACTAGCCTACCACCTTCCAGACATAGCACACATTTTCACCAAAGCAAGAAACAGCAAGAGATCTGTTATCCACAAAGAGCATTGGGAAGAAGTCAGCAAGGGAGCCACGAAAGAGCTTCTGTCATTCCTTTCAGAGCATCCTGGAGGTTCATGATCACCCCTGAAGGTGGACGGATCACCAGGATACAACAGCGGAAGCTTTGCAGGCCTGATCAACTCTCTGCCCGGCCTCTTGGGACCCATGCAGACGCTGGCTGACCCAGGCGAGAGCTCTCTTGCTGGCTTCTGGAGAGAGGCAAGGCCGGGATCTCTGCAAGGCGAGCCAGGCAGCCATTCCAGAGCAGCAAGGAAAACAGGGTGTGTTGCTTAGACGTGCCCTGGGATCCTGATGAACTCTGCTTCACATCAGCAATGGAAATGTGAACTTCCTTCCCGCTGTTCCACAAAGCAATGGATGAGGGACGGGGGAGGGGGCAGGAAAGGAGGAAGAAATCTGCCTTTCCTTTGGCCGGTCGGAACAGGGTTTGTTTTCGTACCATGGCTGCACACGCAAATAAAAAAATAAGTAAAAAAATAAATAAAAGCATTCTAGTGCAGGGTGGGGCAAGTGAAAAATGCCTCTCTGGACATCAGCATCAAAAAGTGGTCCAAGCCAAGAAACAGCAAGAGATCTGTTATCTCCGAAGGAATTACAAGAACCATCCAGGATTCAGACCCTTTCCCCCATCACAAAGCAAACTGTTCAAGGAATTGTACAATTTGTTGCATTGGAAGGGACCCACCCTCCCCCACAAAAGGACCATCTAGTCCAACCTCCTGCAAGGCAGTACTGAGATTCCAGCAAATGTTATTAATCCTGTACAATATTAGAACAAAACAAACTGAATGGATGTATGGGAATTCCGATGTAAACAGGTTCCAAAATGCCATTTAATTGTCCTTCTGAGTTAGTCTTGCTGCAACTACAAAAAACCAAAAACCACGCAAAGCAGTTTACAAAAATAGATAAAACAATCAAATTATCAATTAGAAGAGTCGCCAACAATCATTTCAGACGCTTGAAATAACAACAGATGCGGGTGGCGCTGTGGGTTAAACCACAGAGCCTAGGACTTGCCGATCAGAAGGTCGACGGTTCGAATCTCCAAGATGGGGTGAGCTCCCGTTGCTCGGTCCCTGCTCCTGCCAACCTAGCAGTTCGAAAGCACCTCAAAGTGCAAGTAGATAAATAGATACTGCTCTGGTGGGAAGGTAAACAGCGTTTCCGTGCACTGCTCTGGTTCACCAGAAGCGGCTTAGTCATGCTGGTCACATGACCTGGAAGCAGTACACCGGCTCCCTCGGCCAGTAAAGCGAGATGAGCGCCGCAACCCCAGAGTCGGTCACGACTGGACCTAATGGTCAGGGGTCCCTTAACTTTTTAAAAAAACAGATTAAAACGTGCACAAGCTATCTAAACATCTGGGTAGGCTTGCCTAAACAATAATATTTTTAGCAGGTGGCGAAAAGAGTACAGAGAAGGCGCCTGCCTGGCATCAATAGGCAGGGAGTTCCGAAGTTTAGGTGCCGCTACACTAAAAGATGGAGGAATTGCAAGTGTGGAACGGGGATCACATGGCAGCTGCAACAGCACCAGTTCCGCTGATCAAAGCGGTTGAGTGGTTGTACAGCGATCTTTCAGTTAAACTGATCCTACGTTGTTCAAGGTTTTAGCAGTAACACCTTGAACTTGGCCCAGAAGCAAATCGGAAACCGGTGTAGATCCCTGAGCACAGGTGGTTTGTGCCACCAAGGCCTCCCTCCTGTCACCAATTGTGCTGCAGCATCCTCTACTAACCGCAGCTCATGAATCAACTGCAGGGGGAGCCTCACATAGACAAGCTGTCATCAAGGGGGTAATTCTCTGCATTTAGTTTCCATCTGCATATTGGGTTGGGGGTCTCCATGCTTGTTGTATTGCTGTTTTGCGATTGATCACATTGTCGCAGCTACTTCAATATGTTGCTAGTAAGTCTTGTGTTTTTGGTTGTTGTTGTTTTAATACAAAGTTTGCTTATACAGTATCGTTAAGCAAAGATTGTGATATTGTTGCAAAACTGTCCGGAATTGATACTGCATTTGCCTGAAAGCTGTTTTGCAACACACACACACACACACACACACACACACCCTGAGGGTCATCTAGTCCAGCCCCTTGCAATGCAGGGATCGTAGCTCAAGAATTCCATGAACACAATTGTGAGAAAGTAGGATATGCATCAAATAATTTTCCCAGAGAGGGAGGTTGGTAATTCTAGTAAAACGTGCTCACTGGGTCTTAACTTCTAGCCTCAATGTAATCCAAAAAGCCTCGCCTGACACACCACTGATCCCAACAACAAGGCAGTGGGGGAAAGACTGCAAAAAGAGGACCCCCCCAAAAAAAACTAGGCACACCTATGTTTCCCAGGCAAAAGGCTAAGAAGGATCAATTGGGGGGTTTTAAGCAGGGGTTGGATGGCCATCTGTCATGGATGCTTCAGTTGTGACTTCTGCATTTATTGCGTATATATTTTTAAAACTTATTGGTTTCCATTGTCAAATGCTTGGAACTGAAGTTGTACTGAAGTAAAACAGAGTACAGTGGTACTTCGGGTTACAGATGCTTCAGGTTACAGACTCTGCTAACCCAGAAATAGTACCTCAGGTTAAGAACTTTGCTACAGGATGAGAATAGAAATTGCACGGCGGCGGCATGACGGCAGCGGGAGGCCCCATTAGCTAAAGTGGTGCTTCAGGTTAAGAACAGTTTCAGGTTAAGAATGGACCTCCAGAACGAATTAAATTCTTAACCTGAGGTACCGCTGTAGTTTGACAGGCACCTAACCAATACCTGGGTAAGCAGGAATGTTTTCAAATTTGTGATTCCTGCACTGCGGGGGGGGGGGGGGGGTTGAACTATATCACCCTCAGGGGTCCCTTGCAACTCTACAGTTCTAACTTCCCCTCCCCCCCTCTTATTTTACAAATTGAACAGGACTGCCTATTTTACTATTTAAAACAAATAAAGACACAAGAACAATGCCCGCCTTGACAAAGCACTCAGCTGAGCAGAGGCAAGGAGGCATGGAGACACAACTCAGATGTTACTGCTCAACCACACAACATGCCACGGCCTGGTGACAGGGCGGCCCCTGTGTGCTTGCCCCCCCACCTGTCCCCCCCCTCTACAATTCTAGGACCCTATAACCAAAGTTTCCCCATCTGGCTTTGCCACAGCAAACAACCTGCGACCTATTAGTGAAACATCAAAAGAGCCCTGCAGGATCAGGCCCATTTAGCTCAGCATCCTGTTCTCAGTTAGCTCAATCAGATGCCTGTGGGAAGTTCAAGTTCAAGAGCCGCTGTGCCCTCTTGCGGTTTCCAGCAACTGCGATTCAGAATCATTGTTGCCTCCAACCGTGGGTAGCAGAGCACAGCCATCTGTGCTTAGCAGATAGGCATGTTCAACAAATAAAAGGCTTTGAGGAGCATGGAAGAGGCCACACTCAGGAGGACATCTCTCTGCAAGGCTTGGGAACAGTCCTGACCATCCCATCCTGCACACATGACTGCAGCATTTATCCATCGGCAGTGCTGTCCTGCCCTGGGCCTCAGCGCCAGCAAACCAAGGACTCTGCCTGGAACTTCCACCCACACAGGAAGAGCGAACAGCATGCGCCAAATATGATCTCACGGAATCGCAATGCAAGACAGCAACAGCGTTGTGGATGTACGGAGAGCATAGAAAAGGAAGACACCCTCCCTCCCTCTCTCGGGGGTCAGTCTGCAGGTGGAAGGCCGTCAGTTAAAGCAGCTGCCTGGGTCCCAAACAAAAGATGCTGGCTTCTAA